TTCCAATTTTCTGCAAAGTTCTTATCATAAATGAATGTTGGACCTTATCAAAAGCTTTTTCTGCATCTATAGAAATGATCATGTGATTCTTACTTTTGGCTCTATTGATATGGTGTATTACATTTATTGATTTATGTATATTGAACCAAGTGGGATGAATCCCACTTGGTCATGGTGTATGATCTTCTTCATGATTTGCTGCATCCTATTTGCCAATATTTTATTGAGGATTTTTGCATCTGTGTTCATTAGGGAGATTGGTCTGTAGTTCTCTTTTTCAGTTGGGTCCTTCTCAGGTTTTGGTACTGTGTAATATTTGCTTCTGGGAATGACTTAGGAAGGATTGCTTCCCTTTCAATTTCATTGAAGAGTTTGAGAAATGTTGGCACTAGTCTTCTTTGTATTTCTTGTAGAATTCTGTAGTGAATCCATCTGGGCCTGGGCTCTTCTTTGTAGGTAAAGATTTAATTATGTTTTCAATTTCATTAATATTGGGTTATTCAGCAGTTTTACATCTTCATGATCTAGCTTTGGTACTTCGTATGCTTCTAGGAATCTGTCTATTTCCTCTGTGTTATCAAACCTTTGAGAGTAGAGGTTTTCGAAATAGGTGTTGATGATCTGTATTTTTATAGGGTCTGTAGTGATTTCTTCTCTTTCATTCCTTATTGCATGAATTTGAGCTTTTTCTTCCCTTTTTAAAATAAAGTTGGCTAGGGACTTGTGAATTTTATTTATTCTTTCAAAGAACCAACTCTTTGATTCATTGATTTTTTGGATTTTTTTAAGTCTCTATTGCATTGATTTCTGCTCTGATTTTGTAATTTCTTCTCTTCTTTTGGCTTTGGGCTTGACTTGCTCTTCTTTTTCTAGATGTTTGAGGTGTAACATCAGATTATTTATTTGTATTCATTCTGTTTTCCTGATGTGTGAACTCAGTGCAATAAATTTTCCTCTGAGGACAGATTCTGGTAAGTTGTATTTGTGTTTTCATTTGTTTGTAGGTATTGTTTAATTTCTTCTTTAATTTCCTCTGTGACCAATGATTACTCAAGAGTGTGTTATTCAGTTTCCATGTGTTTGTAGGAATTTTGCAGTATCTTTTATCATTAATTTCTAATTTCATAGTGCTATGGTCTGATAGCATGCAAAGGGTAATTTCAACCCTTTGGCATTTATTTAAATATGTTTTGTGAATTACTATATGGTCCGTTTTAGAGAATGACCCATGTACTGCTGAGAAGAATGTGTATTGTGTTGTTGTTGGGTGGAATACTCTGTATATGTCTATTAAGTCCATTTGTTCATAGGTGCGATTCAGTTCTTTTATTTCTTTGCTGATTTTCTGTCTGGTTGATCTGCCCATTTGTGTCAATGGTGTGTTAAGATCTGTTAGAGTTGTGTTACTGCTAATTTGGCTTTTCATTGCTGTTAGTACTTGTTTTATATAACTGAGTGCTCTGGTATTTGGTGCATATATATTTAAGATAGTTGGGGCTGGGGATTTAGCTCAGCAGTATAAGTGCCTGCCTTGCAAGCAGGCAGTCATGAGTTCGATCCCCGGTACCAATAAAAAGGAAAAAGACAAAAAAAAAAAAAAAAAAAGATAGTTATCTCTTCTTCTTGGAGTTTTCCCCTAACCAGTATGTAGTGACCTTCTTTATCCCTTCTGATCATTATCGGCTTGAAGTTCACATTGTCTGCAAACAGAATAGCCACCCCGCTTTTTTTTTAGTTCTTGTTGTGTGAAGTATTGTTTTTCATCCTTTGACTTTCAGTCTGTGAGTATCCTTTTGGGTTAGATGGGTTTCTTGTAGACAACATATGGCTGGATTTTGTTTCTTGATCCATTCTGCCAGTCTGTTTCGTTTAATTGGTATATTGAGACCATTTACATTAATGGTTATAACTGTTATATATTGGTTTATTGTTGACATGTTATCTTTCTGCTGTTGCATCTTTATCTTTCTGTTCTGTTTAATTGTCTGCTTTGTTTAGTGGTTTTTTCCTAAATGAGTCTAGGCTGTCTTTCAGCATTCTTTGCAGGGTTGGCTTTGTGATCATGTAGTTTTTCAGCTGTTCTTTGTCATGGAAGTATCTTATTTCTCCATCGATTTTGAAGGACAGTTTTGCAGGGTACATCAGTCTAGGTTGGAAATCATTTTCTTTTAGTATCTGAAATACTTCACTCCAAGAAGACTGACTTTATTGTTTGTGCTGAGAAGTCTGCTGTGATTCTGATAGGTTTTCCTTTATAGGTGATCTGTCTTCTCTCTGACAGCTTTTAATATTCTATTCTTTTGTTTAATTTCTGGGATGGCCATTATTATGTTTCTGGGTAGTTTTACTTTGGTTATGGCTATTTGGAGTTCTGTATGCTTCATTGATCTTGATATCAGTTTCCAATATCATGTTTGGGAAATTTTCAGCTATTACTTCTCTAAATATCCTCTTGACATCCTTTATGTTGTCCCCTTCTTTTTCATTTATCCCTATCAACTTTATGTTGTTCCTCTGTGCATCATCTTGCAGGTGATGAATTGTTATTTCCTGATTTCTTGTTATTTTTAAAAGATCTTTCCTTTCCTATTCACTGGCTGCAATCTTGTCTTTGAGGTCTGAAATTCTATCTTCACATTCATTGAGGTGGTTTTTACAACTTTCAATGGAGTTTTTGATTTCCTGTGTATTTCTTTGCATCTGCTTTATATATTCTGTCTGTTTCTTATATTGTTCATCCAGGGATTCTATCTTTTTATTTAGTTCCTCCAATTTTTTAACTGTTTCTTCTTTAAATATGTTCAGCATCTCCTTCATTTCTTTTATCATTTCTTCTTTTACCTGAGAGATTATTTCTAGTTTGAATTCCTTTAAGGCTTCCAGAGTTGCTTCTTTATTTCAGTTACTATTATTTCAGGTATGTGGCGCATATTTTGTTCTATGCACGTGGTTCCTAGGCTTTCTTGGGACGGGCTGGATGCTTGAGATTGCATTTTGCTCTTTCATTTTGTCATTTCCCTATATTTTCGAGCTTCAAGTATTGTTCTAAGTGAGGGAGAGAGGTCCTCCAGGCTGGGACGGGTTCTGTGGCTTGGCGGGACTCACTGTTCCCGGCAGGAAGCCTCGGTCTGGCCCCCAGGCAAGGGAAAGGGTTCTGCCAGGCTGGGACGGGGTTCCCTGCCTCTGCTCCACTTCTACTTTTTATTTTTGATGGAGTCACACTAAGTCACTAAGTTGCAGACTGGGCTTGCACTTGTGATCTTCCTGCCTCTGCCTCCCAGAGTGTTGTGATTATAGGCCTGCATGCCATGCACAGCTCGGAAAGTTGTGACATTAGCAATAAGGGAGAAGAATAGGTTGTAGAACTATTGGCCTAGTTGGATTCCAGGATGTGAAAAACACTGGAGGGAAGCATGCACATATATATCAGAAACCGCTGTGGGATGTTGGAATCGCAAGCAGTTTTTCCTCTCCCTTCTTCCCTGTGACTTCTCCTTCTTTATTTGCTGTATTTTCCAAATTTTCAGAATAAACAAAACTTGCTTTTACAATCAGGAAAAGCTTTTACAAAGAAGAGCCTGTAAGTGGCCAGGCATGATACGTGTGCCTCACTTGGGAGGCTGAGGCAGGGGGATCTCTGTGAGTTGGAAGCCACCCTGGGCTACATAGTAAATTCAAAGACCAGCTTGAATTACAAAGAAATACTCTATCTAAAAAAATAAAAAAGAAGAAGAAAGAAAGCCAAATAAGCATTTTTAAATTTTGAAACAAGATCTCATTAAGTTGCTCAATTGCTCAGGCTGGGCTTGAACTTGCTATGGTTCTGTCCCAGCCTGCAAGTGCTGGGATTAAGGTACGCGCCAGCACCCTGGCTTGTGTGTCATCACCTTTATCCTCCTCTGGGTCACCTCCTGGCAGTTACTCCTCCTTCTCGAGGAGGTTTGTGATCGCTGCTCAGAATCCCTTCCTCTGTCAGTTCCATGGCAGGAGTCTGTGTCTGGGAGGAGGAGCCTGGAAGGGAAACTCTGTCTTACTGAGACCTGATCATGCTGAAGCTGGGAAAGGCAGGTGCTTTCCAGCCCTTTTGTCTCCATCGCGCCTCCAGCATGGCCTCTCGTCATTTTCCCGCTGTTCCTCTCCTGCTCGCCGTCTTTAGAGGCATCTCTACACTCTGGATAGTGTGTTATAGTCCCAGCGTTAAAGGTCTGGCTCAGGCAGCCTCAGTCAGCCTCAGTCCTTGCCATGTGCTTCACCTGCTCGGTGCAGCCCTCTGGCTCCCGTTCCTCCGTGTCTCTGGAGATGCCCTTTCCTCTTTCGGGGCTCTCTTTTCTCAGTGTCACCCCAGAAGCTCCTGCTCACTCTCCAGGTCTCGGGCAGACATGCTAATGCTGCCTCTTCAGGGTACTTCCCTGTCCCTCAAGGCCAAGAAGAGTCCTCTCTCGTTGGCCCCATGACACCTTGTGCTGACCTGTGTCTCCTTCTAGTCCCTGATGCTTCTCTGTCCCTGTGCTTCAGAGGACCGGACCGTATCACCAGTTTTCCTAGCAGTACCTAGGAAAATGTCTGGCGTGTATATTAGGCACTCAGTAAATATCTGTGAATGAATGAATGAATGTGACTAAGAGAAACTCCAAAAGCAGGATGTCTGTCCTCGTTTTAAGCAAACAGGGATCACAGTGGAGAAATTTCAAGGTTTTGTAGCAATATTATTTTTCTCTGTCTCTCAAGGCTGGTGTAAAGTGCTGGCATTGGCTGGACTTGGAAGCTTTAACAGAGATCTCTTAGGCTTTGGCCATGCAGGTCCCGTTCATGGAGAATTGGTTTGTATCTTATCTAATGCGCCTTTAATCTGCTTCTACTGTTAGCATGTCTGAGAAGCCAGGCTGAACCACTTGCCCCAGAGTCTTCTAGCGGAACTGGAACACACTCTCAGGGTCTCCGGCCTAACCGTTATATCGGGACCAGTTAATTGGAGATTTCTTTGGTTTTTTAAACTTTAGATTCTTGAGCAACAGCTTCAGCAGATGAAAGCAACGTATCAGCTAAACCAAGAGAAGTTAGAGTACAACTTCCAGGTGCTGAAGAAGCGGGATGAAGAAAGCACAGTGATTAAATCCCAGCAGAAGAGGAAGATCAATCGGTAATGAGCACGCAGAACAGGTTCCTTCTGCACCCTTTAATGCTCAGGTGGGATGAATCTGTCCTTTGCTGTCCTGAAGGAGAAACCCGTTAACATATGCAACTCTTCTTAAAAGTTTGTTTTTGGAAAAGATAATATATTCAGGTGGTTCCACTTTTTCCTCCCCCCAAAAGAGTATTCAGCAAAAAGTCTTTCTCTGGTCTCCTATCTTTTCCTGTTTTCCACCTCTAGAAAATTTATTTGATTTTTTCCAGAATTTCTTTATGCATGGAGGAGCACAAGGAAATATTTTGTCTTCCTCTGCTTTTACACAAGTGAGGCGTCTGTAAGCACTGTTCTACATCTTGTAGAGCTTTCCGTTCTAGTTCATAGAACGCTTTCATGTTATTTCCTAAGCTGCTCACTGCTCCACAGCAGAGGTGCACTGAGTTACTTCACCAGTCTCTGCCGACGGACCTGTAAACTGTTTCTAATATTCTAGTATTGCAAATAATACCAGCACAGCTGCTCATGTGAATGCCTGGCCTGCTGGTGTGGCTCACCGCGAGGTGCCTGTGCTGAGCTTCTCACACTCCCTTCCTCTTTCCTCCCTTCTCACCTCCCGCCTTTCTTCCTGTAAGAATTCTCTAAGTTCCAGAACATGACGGGAAACAAAGGAGGCAGGAGCCTGGGACAAGAAAATACCTTTCCATGTCATTCCCCATGGCCCACCTCCAGCCAGGCCTATTTTCCAACAGTGCAATTCAGCCATTAATTCATCTATGGATCAATCCACTGATAAGCATAGCATCCTCATGATCCAATCACCTTCCAAAAACTGTACCTGAAACTTTTGGGGGACACTTTAGATCTAAACTATGACATTCTGCCTCTAATTCCCATAAAGCTCAGGTCCATTTCATTGTGAAAAATTTATTGAGCCCTTTTTTAAGAGTTGCCAGCCAGGTGTGGAGGTACATGCTTATAATCCCAGCACTCAGGAGGCTAAGGCAGGAGGATCTCTGTGAGTTCAAAACCAGTAAGGGCTACAAAATGAATTCGAGGCCAGTCTGAACTGCATAGTAAAACTCTGTCAAAACAAAAAAAGTCCAAAATCTGAGACTCAAGGCAAACTCTTAGCTATGAGCCCCTATAAAAATCAGGAAGAGTTGAGTACTTCCAACATACAGTGGTGGCAAACCTTTTGCACATGTTCTGCGGTGGGCATGCAGAGCCTTCTTGCTGGCACATGAGCCAAGTCGCTCCAGCAGCCACACATGGTTAAAAACCATTGTTTTTGCTAAACTAAACATCAGCCTGCAGTGTCCGCACTTTGTGATAAATATATGGGTTTTGGGTTGCAGTCTGGGCACTTGGTCTCTAAAATGTTTGCTGTCACTGGCATAGAATAAACATTCCCATTCTAAAAGAGAGGAACAGGGAGCTAAAAAGGAATGGAGCAAGGAAAGACTGAAACCCAGCAGGGCAGGTGTTAAACCTGTGCTCCATGCCCCACCCCAGAGCAAGTCGTGGTGAGATGTGAGCTCAGAAGGCTTGGCCAACCCTGCCTCCAGGGCCTTGCCGGTTGCAGCCCACAGGGCCTCTCTCCTGGGCTGCTCTGCTCATTGCCTGTGGCTTTCATCAGGAGATCTTCCACATTCCTGGCATCTCCAACTGCTTTGAGTCTCCACAGCACCTTTCGGGGCACACTGCCTGGCCTCCCAGGGTTCCTCTGAAATCTGGGTGGAAGCTTCTGTGACCCAACAACTTTCATTCTGCATGTGTGAAACACTAGCACCATGCGGATGATGCCAAGGTCTGAGGTGCTCTTTCCAAGGCAAAAGCTCTCAGAGGTGTTTACTCTTTTATATTCTTGAGTTTGCTAATATATAGGACCATTTCCTAAGATGCCCTTAAGACATCTTTCTTCTGTTCTCATGCAAAGTACTTGGCTTCTTTTTAATGAAAATATTTTCATCAAGCTTGCTGTCCTTGGCCCCAACTTTACAGGTTCTTCCTTTCTGGCCAAGCTGCAAATTTTGCAATTTTTTTTTTAATACTGGGAATTGAACTCATGACCTCCTGCTTGCGAGGCAAGGGCTGTGCTGCTAAGCTAAATCTTACCACATTATTAGGCTCTCCTTTTTGTTACTGATTCTCACGGTAAATCTGGGTAAAAGCAGTCTACAGTATCAACAGCCTGAATAGTGGGCTGCCTTGAAATGTCCTGTACCAGGTTATTTAGTCCACCACCTTTAAATTCAGCCTCACACAGAGACCTAGGACATGGAAAAACACAGACAAATCCTTTACAAAATGAAACATCCATGGCTACAGTCGTGAAATTTCATGAGCTTTGCCTTTCCTGTCTTCATTCTCCTTACCAGCATTCTGGTCTTCTGAGCTCCTACCAGAATCGCCCATCAATCTCTGCTCAAGAATTCTAAGGCTTCTCTAGTCACCATCTTTAAACCTGTCCACATGCCTCCTGCCAGTCAGTTCCAAAGGCTTCTGAGACAACATGGTTAGGCATAGCTACAGCCATGGCCCCGATTCTCTGGTACTGGTTTTTGCCCACAATGCTCGAAACCTGTAAGTTGAAAGAGGATAGATTTAATTTGGCTCATGGTCTGGAGGGTTCTGTCCATGGCCTGCTGACAGTGCAAAGGTAGGAACAGGATGGTGCCAGGGCATCACTCAGGGCAGCTGCATAGTCGTGGCAGCCAGAGAGCAGATTAGAGAAGGGAGGAGCCAGGGGAAGAACATACCCTCAAGGTGCGCCCCCTGACACACCTCTGCCCTAACCCTAACGGCGCATTGGCTGTGAACTCATCAATGGGTTCATCCACGGACGAGTGTCGCGCCCCACGATCCAATAGCCTCCTCAAGCCCCGCCTCTGAACACAAGACCTTTGGGAGACATTGCAGATCTAAACCATAACAATATGAAGCAGTAATTTATAAAGAACAGACACACCGTAAAGTCCAAGATCAAGAGGCCAAGTTGGTTCGTGTGGACACCGAGGGCCGCGTCCTTCAGAGGGGCGGAATGCCGTGTCCTCTCACGGCAGAGCAGAAGGGCAGGCTGGGTGTGTGTGAAACCTCTTTGATAAGAGCCTAAATCTCTTTCATAAGGTGAGACCCTGCACGGCCTTGTCACCTTGAAAGGTCCCCACCTCTTAATATTATCTCACCTGCATTCTGGGGGGACACATTCACACCACAGCAACCTGTGACCCCAGAATTGGGCAAAAACGCCAGCAGCGGGAGACCAGTGATGCCTCCTGGCCAAACTCAGAGGCTTCTCCTCACAGCAGCTTGGGATCCTGAACTTGTCTTCTTTGGGTCTCATGAACTTTAAACACTTGTTTTCCTTTCTCGATCTAACCATTATCTGTTCCCTTTGATGGCTCTGCCTTTCCTTGATTATTTCTGGAATATCTAGATAAGGATTCTAGGCAGCACGGACCTTCCCTGACCTCTTTGCTTTCGACTTTCAGTCTGTCTGCCACGAACAGCAATATCACGAGGGTGAATATCGTTTTGGGTCAGTGATTATCAGCTTCCAACCTCTAATCCTGACCTCACCTTTTTGCTCTGCGTGGAGCTGCCAGCATGACAGTCCAACTTGGAAAGTCCCTGGCACTGTGCAGTTCTGCAGGCAGCCGCTCCCAGGTTCCCGGCTCTCCGGCCCCCCTTTTCTCTCTGGCTGCTGGCCAGACACTGGGCACCTGGACTTTTGTTGAAACCTCTCTCGTGGTCATTCTTTCGTGTCTAATTCCTCTTGTTCCCTTCAGTGTGTGCCTGCTGCTGCTTTTTGTTGCATTAGCTTCTATACTTAGATGACACATAGAAACCCTCGGACTGCATGACATTGCAGAAGACACCTGGGAAGACTACTTTTAAAAATCATTAGTACGTGTTTGCAGCTATGATGATGACATGCATCGTGAGGAACTGGTTCATGCACATAACCTATCTCAATTCTTTTTTTCCTTTACTCTGCACCCCTCCTTTAAAAACCTTTTTTTCCCACCATCAGATTCATTTATTCATTTTATGAGTCCTTATCAAGTTAATTATGAATACAGATTAACAGATAGGCTAACAGGTCAAAAAAGATAAAAAGCACATAAAGACATTTATACTAAATCAAGGCTTGATTTTAGATATTGTCCAAGCTAGGTTACAATGACATTTTTTCTCTCCTCACTGTTCTTATTGTCTTTTATTTTGCACTTTATTTATTAATTGGGCTTCTCGTAAATGAGAAACAATGTGACAGTCAAGCCTGGTCTCAAGGTGTATGGGCTGACTACTTTATTTTTGTTTTACTACTTTAAAACACTTTTTTTTAAACACCTGTACTTGCAAAGCCTTCTAGTTTTCTGGGAAAGCCTTCTAAGGTTTTTGTACCTACAATTTTGAAAGCCTTTTAAAATGCTGCAGTTAAAAAAATGGATATTTTTCTTTGTCAGAGACAAATTTAAAATTTTTGACACTTTTGTGAGGATGAAAATATGAATGATGAACATTTGCGCTTGAGACACCTTTTGATTTTTTCAGAAATAAAATAATGCTTAGGAGAGGTAAATTTTTATTTTGTAAGTCATCTTCCCTCCCTCCCTCCTTCCTCCCTTCCTTTTTCTCTCCCTCTCTCCCTCTTTCCTTCCCTCCTTCTCTCTTCCCCCACCCCTCCTTTCTTCATGGTACTGGGAATTGGACCTAGAGAAGGCCTCCTGCATACTAGGCAAGCACTCTACCACTGAGTTACATCCCAGCCTTTATTATTCAGAATATTTAAACTTAAAATATTCCAGCCTTCAGCTTCCCTGTTCCCGTGTAAATGAGACACTGACACACGATGCCTCCGTAGTAGTGTGGATTCTGTGCCCAGTGCTGGGTCTGACATCAGAGGTTTCTGTGTGGTGCCGTTGGCCGGGTGGTAACTGTCCTCCTCTGTACGGAGCGTTTGGGCTCCTCTCCTCCCTCACAAGCCTGGGCAGGCTGAATGCCTCATCGCTGGGGTCCCTGGCTCCCTGCATAAGCTCTCCCGTAGTACTTTTCACCCTTCACTCTTATTAATGTTCATCTTTTTCTTTGGCTGGACCAACAGTGCCTTGTTTGAAAAAATTCTTGCATTCATCTTCATAATCAAGTAACTCTTCTGCTCAAAAGAAGCGTTTCAGGCTGGATGAATGAATAAATGAAAGCATGAATCAATGAATGGACCCGTTAACAGTAATAGCTCTTTGAGGGCAGAGGATTCATAGACCATAGGCTTGCGGATTTTTGTATCTTTCCTTGTTTCAGAGTTGAAATGAACATCCCAATCATGACCCTGAAATACTTGCAACAAATTATTTTAATCTGCACAGCTGGCCCAAGTAGGACACTCTGAAGTGTCCTACATGTGGGAGGCTCAGTCACACCCCCGAGCAGGGCCCCTCTCACTGGGTCTGGGTTTCTAGACTGTTTCTAAGGCTGTTAGAGCTGGGCAGTCTACTCACCTCCTGTCCTTTCTCTTTCCTTGACCACAGCAGGGTCTGGGTTTGGGATACCCAGGAGGGTTTTCTGGCCTCCTGCAGCTTCAGTGACCCTGGGTTTGTTGTGGAGCTGAGTCAGGTGGACGAAGGAATACTTTTTATACCATCTAATCTGCTGCAAATTCACTCTTTTCCCCTCCCACCAGCCTGCAAGATATACTTAACAACCTGAGATCAAAATACGCCAAGCAGAAGAAGCAGTTTCAGGAGGAGAATCAGTCTCTGACCACAGACTACAAACGTCTTGTGATGCACTTCAAGGAGCTACAGAAATCCATGAGGTATTTTAGGGACTCGGTCCTGGATAGGGGTGGTTGCCCGGGTGTTAAGCAGAGGTGGCAGCGGCCTGCTGGTGTGATTTCATCAGACCAGATCTCACCAGCTTCCCCAGAGGTTGCTCAAGGCACGAAGGATCTTCTGCGCTGTTTCCTCTCTCTTCCTGTGTGTCCCCTGCCGATTTCCTGGTTTCCTGGTGGGGTGGCTTCTGTTCCATCAGGCGGGGATTGGGCCAGGCCCTGGGTTTACCGTGGTTTTCCTCTTGCTGTTGCTCTGACCCTGGGCAGCCCTTGAGGTCACCCACCCGCGCTCAGCGATGCTCCTCCGCAGGCATTTTGCTCTTGTTGATGCTGAGAAGTTTCGGGAGATTTGGCTGATGAACGAAGAGGAGGCGAAGGGGCTCATAGACAAAGCCTTCAGTGTAGACCGGATCATCCACACCCAGCATCTGGGGCTCCCCTGGACAGCGCCTGACCTCTGGTTCCTGAGCAATGTGGGGCCCATTTCCCAGCAGCCGCGGAAGTCCGCCACCCAGATAGTAGAGGAGGTGCTGAGGCAAACAGGTGAGGCCAACAGAGCCCTAGAGCCTTGTCCACGTGACAGCTGGGAGACTGAGGTGGAGGAGAGCCTAGAGGGTGTTTCCTGCACACCACAGCCTCCGGGCTTTGTATCCAACAGCTCTCATGAAACCCTGAGGCTCAGTCGGATGCAGGTGAATTTATTTTTGCTGAGAATATTGTTATTACCTCCATCAGGACAGACTAATGTAGGTCATCTCTCTTTTTAAATTTCATTTTATTCATCTATTTTTTGGTACTGGGACTCGAACTCAGGATCTTGTGCTTGCCAAGTAAGCACTTTGCCACTGAGCTACATCCCCAGCCCCTCTTTTTTTCTATTGTTTTGTTTTAATGCTAGCAACTGTTGACCCTCATATCTTAAGAACCACAAATGACCCTGGGGTTGCAAGTAATGATATTCACAGTTCTATCACTATGTCTTCATTTGTTAACGAGGACATTTCTGAAAAAGAGACTCTTCCCCTCACCAGCTGTTGGCTACAGTTTGTGTAGAAAGCAGGATACATACTGACCTGTTTTCTTTACCACTTTTCCGAATAATGGATTGGATCTCTAGCACCTGCCAGAGGTATCAGTGAATATCTTATATTAAGGCTTCAGTGCACTGCGGTCACTGTGCACCCGGAGGGTCGCATGGTCCTTCCTGGCTGCCCAGGACACTCAGATGTCCAGCACTCCCTGTGCCTTTTCCGCCTCAAGTCTGGAACTAGCCATTTCTCCAAATGGCTGTTTTAAATAGGAAATAGTGTTTGGGCTCACACTTGGGTGCCAGGAGCTCATTGCTTTGGGCTGGCCATGGTCTCTGGGTCTTTTCGGTGGACAAAGTGGGGTAAAGAGTTATTTTTTATTGACTTTTTTTTGGTACTGGCGATCAAACTCATGACCTTGTACTTGCTAGGTAGGCACTTATGCCACTGATCATTAAAAATAATCTTAGGGCCAGGAATAGAATTATTTTTAATGATCAACTAAATACTGAATTCATTCTGCTTCCTAATGAACAGGATCCAGGAGTTTTACTTGACTTTACCAAAGCATGTCTTCCTCTCTCCCAACTTGAAAAATGTCATACCCAATGACCCCAAAATAATTGTCTCCCCATTGTACCACAGAAAGTTCTAGAAGAAAATGTTTATCAACAAGTGACTGCTAAGCATAGTTTATATCTTCTTTTTTATTTTTTTATTTTAAAGAGGGTAAGATTAAACAGAACAAAACAGATCATAAGGAAACAATTTTAAGAAACACGGATTTCAAAGCAAGTCCACTGGAGACCTTCACTGTCTATCTTATTGTCTCTAGTTTTCTTCCAAATAGTTGTCCTCATCTTCACACACATTAAATACATACTGAACATTATAGTACTAATCTAATCATAACAGGATGATGAAGGCTTTTTAGGTCTTCAAGACCTGACATTGGGGAAGTCAATAATGACTGCCATAATATCTCTCATTCTCTTCATAGTAGCTGTCCTTATCTTTACGTATGCTGAAATTGAACCTAAGAGACTAGACTAATATCACTCTCAACAGTGAATAATAGTATTGCTAGATTTTATATCGTAATGCTACAGAGTTAGCACTGGGTTTCTTAGTGTCTCTTCTTCAGAGTATCTGTTCATTACATCGTGCATCGTATAATCTGTTCTCATAAACTGTTTAGAAATTCTACACATGTGTGAATCTCAACATGTATATCTATCCTTTCTGTATTGTAGGGAAAAACAGATTATAACAAGACAAAAAAACAAATTCCTAGAAAAACATGAAATGAAAAAGACATATAAAACCACAATATTAGGTGATTGACAATAGTTACTATGCTTTATCTTGTTATTTTCAATAGAATTGTCTACATAATCAGACATACTATAATTGAACATAGCATTACATAGCTATTTTATTTATTTATTTTTTGTTTTTATCGGTACCAGGGATCGAATTCACGACTGCCTGCTTGCAAGGCAGGTGCTTATGCTGCTGAGCTAATCTTTAGCCCCACATAGCTATTTTAATAAAAACACAACTTTGGACTTCAAACTTCAACTTGTAGGACTTCAAACGCAGTTAATAATCAAATCAGAATGGGTATCTTATTACATCTTATCATCTTCAGAGTAGTTGCCTCTGCTCTTAGACTTGATACTATCAAGCATACCAATTTGAATAAAATCAGTCAAGGTAAAACAGTGATCTAACAAACCAGCTTCAAATAAGATCAGTCATAGTAAGACAATGTTAGTAATACAGGGCTTCAGTTTAAGTTAATAGGAAATTAAGGATAGTTACCGTGGTATAGCCTGCTATTTTTGGGATAGCTGTCTGTGCCCTCAAATTTAGTATGAGTAGACAGATTGGAACAGAATAAAATCAAACTAAACAGAGCGATAAGACTACTGTGGCTTTTAAATCTTGATACACTATTAACAATGTCCTCTGCCTTCCTTTATTAGGCAATTTTTTAGGGCCTTTTCCTTTCTCAGGATGCTTTGATATTTTGGGTCCCACTAGCTCATTTAGTTTTTAGATTAGGGGGTCAACCCGTTATCTATCTGAGTGGTGTTGAACCTTTTTACCCCTGAGCTTGATCTTGAGCTGTATTCCTTTACTTACTAAAGCCACAAGGTTTTCCTTCCTTATAGCTGCGTAGTTCTCCACTGCACAAAAGTGTCATAACTTCCCAACATATCTGTGGTGCTGGACGAGTTGTCCCTGTTTCTCTCTGGTTCCCTGTCACATAGAGCATTGTTTTCTCATCTTTGACTTTCAGTTTATTAACTCTCTTTCAGGTTGAGTGTATTTCCTATTCAGAGCATCTCGATGGATCCTGCCTCCTAATCTACTCCATGTTTCTTTTTGTTAGTGTATCAGGGCTATCTATATTAAAGATTATAGCTTACTATCTCTGCCTTATGTCTGTTATTCTATTTTTCTGCTATTATTTGTCCACTTTTCTCCTTCATTCCACTGTCTGCCCCGTTCATTGAGGCCTCTCTGCCACTGTTGCTGGAATCCTGATTTTTTTTTCTCTCTCTCTCTAGAATGTCCTTCAGTATTTTTTGTAGGGTTGGATTGGGGGCCATGAATTCCCACAGTTCCTCCTTGTTTTGGAAACATCTTATTTCTCCATTAATTTTGAGAGTTTTTCAGGGTCCATCAATCTAGGTTGGAGGTTATTTTCTTTCAGGGCTTGGACTATTTCCTCCCAGGCTCTTCTCGATTTGATAGTTTGTGTTGATAAGTCTGTCATTATTTCGATGATTTTTCCTTTGTAGGTGATCTGCTTCTTTTCTCTGGCCGCTTTTAATATTCTGTACTTGTGGTGGATTTCTGGGATCTTGATTATTGCGTGTCTGGGTGTAGATCTGTTTTGTTTGTAGTTGGTTAGAGTTTTGTATGCCTCATTTATCTGGATATCATTTCTTTTTCCTATGCTTGGGAAGTGTTCCTTAATTATTTCTTTTTTTAAATTAGATTTTTATTGGTACATTTTAGGTACACATAATTATCACATTTATCATAGAGAATTTGTACCTGTGCATGATATAGCTTGTTTTCTCCCCCATCCCCCTCCAATCCAACCCCTTACCTTCCCCATTTTTTTTCTTTTTTTCTTTTTTTTTTTGGGTACTGGGGATTGAACTCACAACCTTGCGCTTGCCAGGCAGGTGCTTATGCCGCTGAGCTAAATCCCTGGCCCTCCTTAATTATTTCTGTGAATAGCCTTTGTAATTCATTTGTGGTTACTCCTGCTTCTTCGCTCACGTTTTTTATTCTTAAATTATAGATCCTCTTGTCATCTTGTCATTTTTATTCTTAAGTTATAGATCCTCTTGTCTTCTAGCCTTTGAATTGTTACTTCCTGGTTCCTTGTTATTTTAATAGGTCTTTTCTTTCACGATCACACATTGTAAATCTCTCTCCTAGTTTTGAAAGGCTATATTTAGTTTCTGTCAAGGCATTTTCCCATCTTTCAATGGAGTTTTTCGTTTCCTGGTAATCTCTTTGGATCTGTTTCATGTATTCTAGATTTTGTTTATATTCTTCACCAAAGATTTCTCTTCCTTTTCTGGGTTCTTCCATTCTTCCGTCTATATTTTCTTGAGAAGGGCTTAGCATTTCTTTAATTAATCTTTTTATATCTTGCCTCACTTGGATTAGAATTTCAGTTTTAAGTTTGTCTATGAGATCACAAAGGTATTTCTTTTTGTCTGCTGATGCTGTGGTTGATATTGCATGATTGCTGCCCTGGTTCTCTTCTGTATTTACCTCTCCTGGGCTTATTTTCCCAGGGTCAGCGGCTGGAAATTTTCTTTTATTTTTTTCTCTTGTCATGTTTCTGGTTTCTTTCAGACAGGTGTGTGGTGGAGGTCTCAGGCCCTCTCCGTATTGCTTATGGTTTTTCTGAAGCGTGCTGGCTGGGGTTTTGCTGCCTTCTCCAGGTTGCTGTTATCTGAGGTGCATGCAGGGACTGCGGGCTAACTGCTTCTCTCTGAGCCAGTCAACCAGCAAGTGCCTTCAGCAACTTAGGCTGTGCTGTGGCAGATGTCACAGGGTTGAGACAGTTTCCTCCTGGCTGTTGGGTTCCAGCCAGGGGCGGGGCTCAGCCCAAGCAGGTCCCACCAGTCCTCTCTGGGCCAGGGAAGGCTGACTGATGCCGCCACAGTGCCGGGCTCTGCCCCACTCCAAGATGTTTTTCAGCTGGCGACACCCGCCATGGACCCAATTTCCAGCACTCACTGTGAATTAATGCAGCTCTGCACCTTGGCTCCACTCCATGCTGTGCCACGTCCTCCTGCCAAGGGCCCGGGACTCACCAACTCCCATTATCGTGGCTGCAGCTTCAGTGTGACCCTGGATCATGCGACTCCATGGCGGGATGGGGCTCAGTGAGCGCGTCTGGCTCCAGCCTTCCACCCGTGTTTTTCCTTCCTCTTCCTATGTTCCTTTTCCTTCAGTTTCCTCCTGAGAATGAGAGTCCCTCTCCACTCGTCCGGCCCTCTCCATGTTGTCAAATTCCAGTGTCTGAGCTGTTTTTCCCAGCGAGGCTCTGCACCCAGCTACCCAGCAAGCCGCCCTCTTTCTCGCTCTATAGCTTTCTGTATTTCCTTTTTTCCTGAGCTGTCCCCTCAGGGTGAGTAGACAGGTAACGGTACTTCATGGTTACTTACCGGAGTCTGTGTGGTTAATGTGATCAGCTGGTTTTAGGTTTCTTGTTTCCTTTTACTTTTGATCACTGGTGATCACTTTTTACTTAGGTTTTGTTTATTTATTTATTTGTACCGGGAATCTGGCTCAGGACCGTGCACTTGTCAGGCTTCTTACTTTTGTTTTTTACTTATGCGAAATACTTGTTTACAGAATAAAATGTTGAGAATCGAGGTATATTCAAAGGAGTCTATCTTTTATTCTCTTAACACTCTTTCATCCCTCTCCTGTAGATAAATATGAAATAATTATAGTATATTCTTCTTTTATTTTAAAAAATTATGAACACATATATATGTAGTACATATGTACCCATTCACACAAACTTATATGTCAACCGATTATTTAGGTAAGTGAAATCACGCTTTTTCTTCTTTGCTTTTTTCACTTACAATATTCCTAGGGATCATTCTGTTGGAGTAAAAAGAAATACTTATTATTTCTTTTTCACATGAAACTCTATTGCATGTATTCAAAGATCCTCTGTTGATCATTGTTGGAATATTTCTTTTATTCTTTTGTGCTTACAGACATTACTACAATAAACAGCTTTGTTCACTTGTCTTCTCAGATTTTTGCCACTGACTTGCTGGGATGGATGGGTAGAAGCACGATTGTTGGCCCAAAGGGCAAGTGCCTGTGTAATTTTGCTGCATATTGCTGCATGAAGACACCGTTTTGCACTCCCACCATAAACTTGCTATCTTGTACTTTTCATAGCTATTTATCTTACCTTTTGAATAACTAGTAAAATCTCAGTACATGAGGACTTTTATTCCCACTTTCTGATGAGGAATGTGCAAAATAAAACATTTTTGAATCTGTATATTTTAATTAAGAAGAATTGTGGCTCTTCCGCGGGCTGTCAGTTCCCGCTGATAACATTCCTTTACGTGGTAGCCATGTCTGCCTTTTTAGTGGGCTGCTTCTGATTTCTGCAGGCTTAAAAACAGGTCATGTGCTTGCTAAATTGTCTCCAAAATAAGAATAAATTCACACTGTCCCTCCCAATCTCTGGTTCATGCTGGATTTTGAGTGTGGTCTGCAGACAGGTGTAGTTTGGAAAGCCGGGCATTGCGAGCTGGCTGGGAATGGCTGATTCTCAATCTCTGATTCTGATTCCTAAGCCCTCGTGCTCCATGTAGTAAGCATCCTTCAGCAGACAGAGTGTGACCGATACATTTCCCCTTTACTTCTTAAAGCCCCTCTGAGGCCACCTGACTATTGCTCAAAGTCACCAAGGCCAAGAACTTACCTTCTTTTTCTTTCTTTCCCTCTTTCCATGACCTTTCTGCAGAGGAGGAGGAGGAGGAAGAGGCTGCCTTACATCCAGAGTCTTACCTGGACCTGCCCAAGCAAATTTCAGCAAAAACAACCAAAAAGATCCTGATGCTTCTATGTGATGAGTCGGTGAGACACTTCCTTGGGGCATTTCTGAGGTTTCTGCTAGACCTGATGAGACACCCTGGGCACTCTGGGAGGGGGCCTGAGGAGTGGGGCTGGGGTCAGCCTGCACTTGGAGGGCAGGTCACAGACAGGCTGTGCCTCTGTGCTGGTCCAGCTGGCAATGGCTCTTCCCCTTGGGGCACAGCCCCTGTAGGCGTAGTCCAGGTGAGCTGGTGGCTCCTGCTGACTGACATAGTGTTCCTTTTGCACTGTGTCATCCCTACCTGCCAGCTGCTGTGGTTTTTCTCTGGGGACTCAATTTGAGGTTCTTCAGGTGTGTTAGGTGCTGGATCTCTGCACTGTGGCAGTGGCAAAAAGGGTTAGGCCAGGTGTTGTGGCACAGGCCTGCAATCCAGCTAATCAGGGGGCGGAGGGAGGAGGAGTGCACATCTGAGGCCAGCTTGGACAGTTTAGTGCAACCCTACATCAAAATAAAAAATAAGCAGGGCTGAGAGAGAGCTCGACACTCCCGGGGTGCAATCCCCAGTACCCCAAAGGGGAACAAAGCACCAGATGTTAAACTTAGAAAGTTTAATGTTGTATGGGAGCTGGCTTTGCTGGAGGTCAGGCTGTTACCAAGCACAGTCCTTGTTTATTGACGTGTCACAGTTCTGCAGTGGATGAGGAGGCGGAGCAGGGCTTGGCAGCCTGGAGACAGTTGAGCCTGGCTTCTTGGCTGCAAAAGCTGGCTGTTGCCATTGGGGTCTTCCCTCCGTGGGCAAGCTTGATGGCAGCGGCCGCCTGCCCATAGAGGCCTCCTGCCCTCCCAGCAAAGAGCAGGCCTTGTCCTCTCATGCAGCGTCCCCATCTATTTGTTGTGTGCTGCACCTGACATGGTGTGTCCCCATGCCAGTCCACTCAGGGCCTCCTGCTGGATTCTATAGCTTTTTGGGGTCGTAATGAAGTGGGCAGCCAGGGAGGTCTGGTTTGGACTGCTGTGGAGACTGGTGTTTGTCCGGTGGCCGTGAGTGAAGTGGAGATTGGCTTTGTCCCTGCTCGCTGGAACATACACAGGTGGCCCTCCTCTGGGGCCAAAGTTTCACCAGGGCTTCTGCTTTGCCGTGGCCCCTGGAGACACACAGAGGGCAGTTGTGGACCCTCAACTTCATTCCTGGAACCTGTCTCTGACTGGAGATGTCTTCTTCCCTGTCCCCAGGGTTTCCTCATAGAGAGCAAGTTGCTGAGCCTTCTCCTTTCCCTGGAGAAGACCGAGTGCTATCTGCTGAGGTTGGACGCCATCTTTTCAGTGAGTCCTACTGGGCTGAAGGGACGCGGGGACGGGAACAGGAGAGGGGAAACCTGTCTCTCTTTTCCTGCATTGCCTTAGCCCTGACAGTAAATAGTGATCTGGACCTCTCTTGGGCTCACCATCATGGCCTTCCTTAACTTCCTCTCAAAAGGAGTTGTCCTCAGCATCACTAAGATGTTCCCATCTGTGACCCTTCCTCTCTGGCTCTCCTCTCTGTCATGGCCAGGCCCTCAGGTTCTAAGTTTGCACCTACACCCCGACTCAGATGCTGTGTGTGTCTGAACCCTCCCATCAGCGCTGCACGCTGCACAGACCTACATGGGGCCCCTCCTGCCTCCGAGCTTCACTTCTCTGTTGTGACATCTCCAGTGTCACTGTGGTTTCCAAGCACCGGCCCTGGGCTCTCTGCTCCAGGAAGCCTGAGGGCACGAGCTGAGCCCCTTCAGCACTGAGTCTGTGGCCTCCATGATGGTCATCTCGCTTTCCCCAGGCCCTTGGAATCGAAAGTGAGGATGACTTGTACAAACTGGTCAACTTCTTCCTCAAATACCAAGCCCACCATGGATCCTCCACCCAGGTGAGGTGGGGGGCAAGGAGTGGTTTAAGTTCTTCTGGAAGCCCCTAGGGGCTTTGCTGCCTTGGAAGGTCCTGGGGAAGCGTGTGCATGGGGCAAATGGGGGAGGCTGTTGTGTCAGGGAGAGCTACTAGTGGTGGAGGTGTGTGTGTGTGTGTGTGTGCGCGCGCGCGTGTGTGCGCGTGTGTGCACGTGTGTGTGTGTGCACACGTGTGTGTGTATGCATGTGTGTGTGCATGTGTGTGTGTGTGTGTGCGTGTGTGTGTGTGTGTGTGCGTGTGCGTGTGTGTGCATGCATGTGTGTAGCTGTTCTCATCCTGAAGCCCAGGGAATCTTTCCCTGAGCCCTTGGCACTGTGTTAGCTGAGCAAGCACTTTGTATTCTGTGGATTTTGATTCCTAACCCTTCCTGGACAGCAGGGTTCATTTGTACTACCGAGCATATATTTCTTGAAACTGATTTCAGTAAGAGAATGAATAGCAGCTGTTCTGAAGAAGTCACCATGTTAAAAATTATGGCATCTTAATTTAAAATTTAAGAATTTGGGTTTTCAGATGTTTTTACCATTTCTAACGGAAGGGTGAATATCCTGTTAGGCCTCCAAAAACGTTGGCTGAATGAACACAACTGAGAATTCATAAGGAAAAGATCCCTCTGGCTACATTAAAGCATTACAGCTACATTAGAGCAAAAGTCATTACCCGAAAAGTGAAAAAAACCAGTGATAGCTGGGGGAAAAATATTTTCCACTCATATCACAGTTAAGGGCCAGTTTCTGTCATAAACCAGTAAGAAAAAAGACCAACGACTCCGAGGAGCAGAGACTGACCCGAAGGAAACCCAGGAGGGTGGCACAGGTCACTTTCAGGCAGGTGAGAAGATAATTAGACTCCTCGTAATGAGACATGCAAATTAAAATGGCCAAATTTCGGTTTTGCCTCTCAGGTTGGTAGAAATCTAAACCTCTGCTAGCACATAGGATTGTCACCTCCAAGTAAGGACAACGTAACGATATGAATTACAAAGCTGATACGCTTTACAGTTCTTGTAGGATATCATTCTATAGATAAATCTCAGTATAATAGAAACGATGTGTTCATTGTAACTTTTTCACTTTTGTATGAAATAGCAGAATTTTCACCCTGCTAATATAGCAGAAGATTGGAAACAACCTAGTTGTCCCCATTAAGGAATTTATTTAATAATAGATGACACTTTTAACATGCTTGGGCATTATGGAATAACGTGAGTATAAAAACAAAAATTCTTTGTATATTTATATACAAAATTTGTAAGCAAGAAAAAAGTGCAAGACTGCCTTGTAGAGTAGTATCATTTATGTAATGATGGGCAGGAAAAGTATTTCTGTATATATATATTTCTGTATACATATATATATTTTAAAATAATTTCTTATATATATATGTGTGTGTATATATATGTATATATATTTGCTTATACAGACAGTTTCTTTGGAAGAATACATAAGAAACTTGATAATATTAATTTGCCAAGGGGTAGTAAACTGAATAAACAGAGCCCCAAAAGTGGGAGAAAGACTTCTAAAATTGGAACATTAAAGCAAAGTTGATTTTATATTATGATTCAAAAGGAAAGCTTCGTGACCAGGCATCAGTGCAGTGAGCACTGCGAACCCAGGCTGAGAACACTGTCGTCCTTTGGAAGCCGCCCCCAACCTCTCCCGTCCGCCTCTTTCCCTGTTTCGTCCTGATGTAAATTTCCTCCTCCGAAAGTTCTCTGGAACTTTCTGTCAGCCTTGTTTCTGTCTCCTCTTGTCTTTGCCTCACACACTCGTGCTTTGTATCCCTGCCTGGTTACCCTCGTGTCTTCCCCAGATGAACCCCAGGGATCAAGTGGGCACCGAGCAGCCGAGCCTGACGTCAGGGGTGGAGCTGCTGAGCGTGGAGACAGCGGAGGACCAGAGCAGCCCCACATCTGTCTCCCCGAGAGCCAGCGTGGCATCCGGCTTGGAGGTGGCAGAGCAGACCGGGCTGGAGGGAGGCGCAGGCGGGGAGCAGGAAGAGAAGGTGGCTCCGGCTTCTCCCGGGCTCATCCACCCCAACGACGTCCTCAAGGTTCTGGAGGCCTTCGTCATGGGTCTCCGGAAGCCCAGGTGGGCTGCTGGGCAGGAGAGCTTGCCTGAGACTTGGGGGTGTGTGGAGGGCTGGAGATGAGCAGAGTCCAGTGAGTGGAAGAGAGGGGAGGACGTGACTTTGGGACTCCGAGGGACACAGTCATAAAAGAAATGAGGCGTAGGGTGGTTTGCACCAGTTTCGGTCATGCATGCATTCATCTGTTCATTCATTCATTCATGCAACAAATGCTTATTGAGATCTGCTGGATGTAGCACCTTTAGATCAGAAGAATGGCAGAAGCATGCATGTTATGTTGTAACAGGATGAGAAGGAGGTGGCATCTCCATTTGGCTGTCAGCGAGGTTCTACAGAGGACACGGCACAGGAATTGGGTGTCCCTAAGTGAGGAAAGGGTTTTTCCAGACATGACAGCAAAGGAAGCCTTGATGTGTTCAAAATTCACGACAGGAGGGGTATCCACAGAGTCATGGTCCAGAAAGTAGGATCAATGGGTCGGGGACCAGGTCAGATCTTAGGAGGCCCTGCCCTGTCTGCCTGACCCTTGTCCTTGCCTGGTGGCTGGAGGATTTTCAGGAGTTGGGGAGTCATGATCAGCTTGCATTTTAGAAGAATCCCTTGGAAGGCAGGGAGGGAGGTGATGCTGGCCACAGCGAGGGCACACAGGAGGCTTTGGGCAGGCGGGAGGGTCATGGCATCAGAGAGGGCGTGGAAAGAAGGTGACACAGTCCCACGGCTGCTTTGGAGGTAGTCAGGAAAGAAAAGAGAAGTGACAATGAACCATCAAAGTCAACAGACAGGGCCAGGGCTGTGGAGGTGACCCCAACAATGTATCACAAAGGTCACAAAGGGCCCTGAGGAGCATGGGTGATAAAGGTAACCTTTCTAGCACCTGCCATAACCTAATAAGTAGACTTGGAGGCTGAGGGGGGATTTGGCAGGTGGAAAGGTAGAAGTCTGTGACTGACGTGAAGCTCCGAGACTGGCACTGTCTGGGGACCTGGGGTGTCAGGTGAGACCATGACACCAGGGCTCTCGCCCCTCAGGGACCTTCAGACACTGCTGAAGGTGACAAGGAATGAGCGAGATGATTCAAAGGACTCTGCGTACTGGGAGGCCCTGAGCACGGTGATCCCCGATGCCAGGCTCAGCCTGTGGGACACACTCTACACAGCCCTGGAGAGATACCAGTGAGTGTGCGGCGCCACGGGGGAGCCAGGACCCTCGCTTTCCAAGCCGCCATGCTGCGCAGTCTTGGGGGAGAGGCTGCCTTGTCCGGTCGGTGGCGGACAGTGCCTTCCTCATCCTATTCCTGCTGGCCCGGGGTGGGCATGGCGAGGCTTCTAGGGTCCTCCACCAGCCAGAGACAAAGCTCACAGGTCCTGGCCCCTACTTGGCGCGTGTTGGGTTCAGCTGGCCTCTAACCCGTTCTCTTGCCCAAAGCCACGTCCTGACCCAGCGGGCCGAGCTGCTGCTGGAAAACGAGTCCCTGGAGCAGCAGAACGCCGAACTGCAGTCTCTGCTGCAGCAGTATCTTCATTCCAAGGTGGGCGCAGGGCACGCGAGGTGGCAGCTGTGCAGCCCGGGAGCCCCTTCCTGGCGGGTGGGGAAAGGATGCAAATGAACAGTCTCACCTCAGCAGGGACAGTGACCAGCAGGGCCGTCTCAGACCACTGCCTAGACTTCCTTCCAAGGCAGCTGGGCTCTGACCCTGTCCCTTGGATGTCCATGCTTTTGGTCCCACCCCTGTTGGACTGCTGTTTTTAAAGCAGTGTCAAGGCTGCGGGAGTCCCCATGTTTATTTTTTTCCTTGATCTGAACAACTGCTGCTTGGGGAGAGAGGCAGGCCTGTTCTCCCTGTTTTATGAAGAGGAGAAATAAAACTCAGAAGCTTGGTGAGGCCTCCAGGGCCCTGGGTGCTTTCCAGGCCACAGCCTGCTTCCTCAGCCTGTGATGTGACTGGGGTCCTTCCTGTGCAGGACAAATACACCCTGGCCCCCGCGGGTGCCTTCTTGGCAATAGTTGTGGCCATGGCCAGGCTGGGGGAGGAAGGAAAGCCCTTCCCTGACAGCTGCACGCTCGCCTCAGGGTGTAAGGGATCCCCATGCGTGTTGATCTTGTGGCTGGGAAGAGCACGCACCACACAGTCACCAGCTGCACACGGCTGAGGTGACTGAGGCCCGCCCCGGGTGTGCCTGTGGCCGGGGCCCTGGTCTCAGACTACACGTGAAAGGCGAATGGGGTCAGGATTGGCATCGTGCTGGCCTCTTGGCCTGTGACAGGGCTCAGACATTCGTGGGCTGCATGGCATTAACTTCCACAGAAGTTGCTGTGTACAGGGGATGAGGAGGAAGGGGAAGGGTGGGGGAGACAGGAAGCGAAGGAGGAGGAGGGGAGGGGCTTCCCGGGATGGGCAGGCTGCTCCTTGGAGCCAAGCCCTGCAGAAAATGGTGGCTTTGCATTGGAAGGAAGCCGGCTTTCAGGCCCTCGGAGGTGCTGTTTGGCCTTGGAGAGGAAACCCCTCAGGGGTTTAGAAGCTATGGGGGAGCCCTGCGTATGCACTTGATTCCCCCTCCCAGAGGACAAGAGGAAGAGGGCCCAGGGGACAGGAAGTGACCTTCACCCTTTCTTTTCCAGATAAACTCTCAACTGCAGGTTCCTCCGACGCAGGTGTTCCGGATACCCACCAAATAGAGGTGGACCCCAGAGGCTGACGAGTACAAGCTCGTGCTGGTGCTGTGCTGGTGCTGGGGACCAGGGCCCACCCTGGGTTTCCTGGAGCTGTTGTTACAGGCCCGTTGAAAGAAGCCCCCACTTAGTTCCCATTAAAGTCAATTGAAACCAGCAGCAGAGTCTCTTTAAAGAGTCCAGGGCTGATGAAATGGGAGCCCCTGTCCCTACCACTGTACTCCAAGAGAGCTCGTTCCCAGGCTCAGATCCTGGTGTGTGCCGGAGGCAGAGGCCAGCGGCCTGTGGCTTCCTGTTTCTGGGGGCAGCTGGTTGTTGTGGTTGGCGGCTGGAGCTCTGGCAGCTGGTGCTGTCTTTGGCCTTCAGGTTATCCCCAGCCCTAAAGGATTTTTTCAGTGCTTTTGGGGCCCCTGCATGTACCCAGTGGTTCCCTCTGGCTACGGGTGTACAGCCTGAGCTGGTGGCCCTGTGCTCAAGGCCCACCTTGAACCCTGGGCCACCCACAAGGGAAAGGTTTACCAACCCAGAGCACCTCTGACCCTGGGCCTCACACAGGACCAACACAGGCCTGTCAGCCTAGTGCCTTGTTTATTTTTTTGAGAAAGAGAGAGAAAAAAAATCACACTCAAGCAAGGAAAAACAGCCGAGAGGAACCCGGACACAGGCAGGGAACAATCCTCTAAGTGCAAAGTCCAGGCTGTGGCAGTGGGGCCGGTGGGGCTCAGGAGCCACCCTCAGGGGTCTGTCTGGGCTTGTTGGTGCTCACCCAGGCAGAGGACGCCCTGTGAAGGAGCATAAACCTGCGGGCAGGGCTGGGACTGAGCTCTGCAGCTGCCAATAGGTGGCTGCTGTGACAGAGGACAGGGAGGGACATGCCCAGAGCAGCTGCCCAGCTGCAGGGCTGGTGGCAGGTGCTGGCTCAGCGCTGCAGTGCTGAGTGGCAGGCTGGGCTCTGCTTTTAAGACTGCACTGCGGACAGGGTGGTGATGCTTTTGCTTGTTTAATCATTCAAAGGCCTGGCGTCTGGCCCTTGGGCCTTGGTTAATTTCATTAAAGCTTTATTCCTAGCCTAGAAAGCTCGAGGGGAGGGCTTAGGGCAGCTTCCTCTGGAACAGGGCTCAAAGGAGGGTGGGACCTCAGCAAGATGTATAGGAGAAGGGACCGGATCCAGGTCCCCACCCCTTCCCACGCTCCCCATCCCACAGGCAAGATCACAGGGGCAGGCTTGGGCAGGCAGCGGTCTGGGAGGGCAGCCCAAGAGACAGGAGGAGCTACCACCCCAAGGCTGAATGCAGATGTGGGGCTCCTCAGGCTCTCAGGGTAGTTGGGACAGAGTCCAGGCCACAGGGAGGGCAAACACACCAGGCCCTGGAGAGGTGCTGGTGGAGGGGGGCAACCTTCACGCCCCGAGGAGCTTCTTGACCATGTAGCCGGGAAGGCTGTAGAGGAACAGGGCCAGCATGAGCAGCCCCAGCAAGGCCAGCACAATCTTAATGATGAGCCACTTGTACCGGGTGCAGATGAGGTACTTGATGGACTTGAGTGGGTTGAGGAACCAGACGAAGGCAGTGTCGGGCCGGCTGGGGAGTGGAGAGGAGGGGAGGTGCTAATCACAAGCCGCCCCCACAAAGCACCCAGCCTCTGTCCTTCCACTGCCCAAGGTGCCCTGTCACAGCCTCGGCCCCCAAAACAATGAGGCTGGAACCTGGGTGGAGCCCATTTCTAACAGTGGTTTGGCTTAAGACCTGTCCTCTCTGTGGGCCTCTGGTGCTCCGCCCCCCAAGGCTGGCAGGGCACTTTTGGCAGGGAGTACCTAACCAGCCTCAGCCCGAATACTTGCAGCCCCTCGTGGCTCACTGCCCAGCGCAGCAGGCCATTCTGATGGCCAGCGAGCCTCTGTGTTTGGCAGGTCAGCCTTGCCCTACCTTAGGACATCAGGACATCTTCCCCTTTCTGATGAAAGCTTCTGTCCCCACCAGGCCCCGCTGAGGCTCTAGGCAGCTCTGGGGGCAGTAGCCCTCACTGCCCTGCACCATCAGGGTATGGACCTACTGTAGTCTACACGGCTTCCCAGCCAAGAGCCTTGCTCTCTCTGCTTTGTGTCACGTAAACGGATTTCATAAGGAAGCCACGTATAAAATTATTGAATACACTTTTTCCAGTACTGCCCTCCCCCAGTGCCCAGAGGAGCTGGGCTGCACCTGAGTTCAGTATCAGTGAGGTGATGTGTCATGGGCTAGGGTTCAGGTCCCTCTGGACAGGAGCCAGCTCTGCACAGGAGGCCTCTCGAGGGGAGGAACAATTTCAGGATGCCCTGGCAAAGCCCAGCCACACCCCGGCCCCTTATCCGGGTCATATCTCAACTCCCTTCTAACGAAACTGGGTTAGAGTTGGTGAGTAATGCGGCTGGGAGAGGAGGCTGGAGTCCCCACTCTACCTCGCTCTGCCTGGGTGACCTGCGGTAACCTATGTCACCCCTTAGGCCCAATACATAAAAATGTAAAGTAGCCAGTTCTGCTCTTGAGTCTGTGCTTCTGTTTTGAAAGCTTGAGAGTTTCTGCGCATGTTTGCACAGGCTTGCGTGTGTGTGTGTGCATGTATGTGTGCATATGGCTTCCACGTGTGCCCGTGTGTGTGTGTGTGTGTGTGTGTGTGTGTGTGTGTTGCACAGGACAGCTGGCCTGTGGTCCAGAGGCAGGAGGGGGAAGTACCAGACCCAGAGCAGTGGAACTCAGGCCCTGGTGATCTTCCTGGCCAGGTAGCCAGGCACAGAGTAGAGAGGGTGACCAGGAGGAGCAGCCAGTGGCAGGTGTGCCACAGGAAGTATCGGGCAGACTCGAGAGGGTTCAAGAACCAGATGAAGCACATGTATGGCCGGCTGAAGCATTGGGAGGAGCAGAGGGAGCACAGAGGAAGGGAAGGGGCTGGAGGTTGGGACACGATGGCTGAGCATGCGCAGTTCAGGTGCCTCTGGGCCCTCAAGGCTCGCTGGGGACCCAAAGCTGCCAGGGAGCCTTTGGCAAAGACTGGGAAGACCCTGTACCCTCTTGTCGGTTGGGCCCTTCCTGTGCCCCTGTTCAGATGGCTTGTTTTCTAGCAAAAAGGTGGGTGATACGGTTCAGGGATGAAGGAAGGGGGCTCCCCTGCAGTGCGGGTGTGGCCTGGGAAAGGACAGAGGGGATGCCTGGGGGCGGGGGCAGGAAGTTCCTCCCTGTTTTTGGGGTCCCCTCAGGCTCAGCACTCACTTGGGTTTCTCTAAGGGATCAGGTTCATTACGGGCCAGGCCCACTGGATTCTTCTCCGCCTCCTCTGCTGTCAGCAAGTGCAGCTCAGCTTCTACCTTGCCCTGCAGAGAAGGACAGAGCGGTCCCAGTGGCCGGGCCGGCGCAAGCCCTTGGCACCCAGCCTGGCCCGCTCCTGAGCAGGGGCGCCCACCGTGAGCTCAAACTCATCGTTCTCATTGCGGGCCAGCAGGGGCCACCAGCCTTTGACGCGCTTCTGCTTGAAGATGGAAACCAGCGGCACGTCCACCTCCCCGGTGGCCATCTCCATGGTGCACTGCTTGGCTGTCTTGGCGCCCCGTGGGAACCGGTTCAGGTCCAGCTCGATGGCCCCTGTTGCAATCCCCGAATCAGCTCTGGGAGAATGTGGTGGGGCAGGGGCCCTGGCCTCCCTGGTGCCTTACTGGCTGAGCGTGGACTGTCCAGCAGCTCCTACCCCTTCCCCCCCCATCCCTGCCCTGTGCTTGTCGGCTCTTCCTCCCTGGAATCTGCACCCCCTACCCCTGCTGGTTCCACTCTAAAGTCCTGCTGGTCTCTCAGACTTTCTGATACAGATTAGAGTTTGGGAAGGTTGTGCTTCCCCCAGGAGCAATCTGAGGCCCGGGAGGGAGGTCTCCAGAGGACGCCTTGCTGGTCCCTCCTCCTTGGCTTATCCAAAACATCGCCAGCCTCAGTTATGACATGGTTAGGGGGCATCCTGGTGGCGGGATCCCCTCGGATCTCTCTGTCTGATGGACTAGATGAGGCTGACACCTTGCACCTCCAAGTGAGCTCGCCCTGCCCCACCTCACACTGCCCCTGCGTACGGGACCCCAGCCCCTTCCCCGCTCTGCACCCAGGAAGTCGTCAGCTGAGAAGTGGTCGGCATCCCAGATCTGCAGGGTGAGCCGCGCGGGGATTTTGTACTCTGTCTCGTCCCAGGAGAACATGGACTCCTTCTTGGAGATGACGATCCTCTCTTCGGCCGCCAGGTAGTCGAAGGGGAACAGGTAGCGCCAGTTGAAGTTGCCCTCCCCGGTGAGGGAGTGGTAATGCACATCCGTGTCCTGCTTGTCCTCCTGCTGGCCCTTCAGCCACCTGCTGGGTGCCACGCCCTCCAGACTGGTGCCATACACCAGGTGGCCTCTCCTGCCCCTGTCCCCTCCCCCCAGACAGGGACCCCTCACCCACCCCCGCACGAAAATGTCGCTGGACTTCTCCCCAGTAAAGAAGTCGTCGTCTTCCAGGACCACCTCGTCTGTGTTCCACACGATGACACGTAGCTCATACCTAGGAGGGTCAGGAGAACCAGTTATCACCTCTGGGCAGGGGTCTCCCAGGGTCCCAGGGCTAGGATGGCAGGAGCTGGAGGTTAGAAGCCCGGGACTCAGGACTGGCACGGGGCCAGGAGAGCAGATTGCAGCCACAGGGAGGCCTTGTCCCCTTGGTCCCTAATTGAGCCCCACCGTGAGCTAGCCACATGCTGCCCCTGCACCGGGAGAGCTGGCCATGCTGGTGCAGAGGCCAGAGCATGCTCCTGAGCAGAGAACCAAGGCCAGGGAGAGCAGGGCCGAGGCCAAGAGGCAGCTGTAGTCTGTCTGTCTCCCAAGGCCAGAGCTTTGCTTTGGTTTTATTTATACTTAAAGACCAGGACTATGGATGCTGGTTTCCTTTATGCACTTGTCCCTAAGGAGGACTTCCCTCCTGAGATTTAATTTAATTACAAGTTGGCTAGGAGGTCGCTCTGGGGAGTTAGAGGACTGACCCCAGTGCGGTCCAGATTGAGCTGTGAGGTTGGGTTGCCCCCTTATGGAAAGACCAGGTAACAGCACATAGTTCAAGTACAGCAGGAGAGCCAGCTGGGTGATTTTCCCATCAGTACAAAGGGAAATAAAC